CTAAATACCCAACCCTCTAGAAAATTTCTAAAATACCACATGCACAGACAGACAGACAGACAGACAGACAGACAGACAGACAGACACACACACACACACACACACACACACACACACATTGTTCCATTATTACTGCCCTTTCTACAACTATTCTAGCTCCTGGACTTGTGTGTGTGTGTGTGTGTGTGTGTGTGTGTGTGTGTGTGTGTGTGTGTGTGTGTGTGTGTGTGTTTTAAATAGGGTTGCTCTATAATAGATGGGCAATTCCCATTTAGACACTTCATAACAGTAAATACAATGCCCAGTACAGGGAATGAGTAACACTTTTTTTTAAATTGTTGGCCAATGTGCTTCAACAGACCCCAGACATTATGGCTTATTGTGAACCCTATGAGACACAATAAGAATATAACCATCAGAATGTGTGTACATTATAAAATTCAATTTATTGAATTGGTTTATGTGATAGGATCTAGGGAGGCAGAAAATCCACTACTTTCTCAATCAATGAATCTGAATGTCTTTGCAGTCTCAGCACAGTGTAGAAGTTCTGGTACTCAGTCTATATTCAAAGACCAAAGAGGATGGCAGTGATAGCAGTGATAGACACACTTGCTCAGAAAGAAGCAAAGGCAACTAGGGAACAATACTTATTTTTCAGAATTCAAAAGCAACACCTACTTTGAGGGTCAGTCTCTTCACTTTCTCCTCAGTTAAATTCATTTATAAATGTACAGATGGGGCCATTGTTACTAGGCCTCTGGACAAGAGGGAGTACATCATGGAAAGAGTAAATGGTAGAGCAAAACCACTCACACAATGGCTACACAACAAAATAAAGTAAAAATGTGGGCCACATTCTTATTATCCTCTTGAGTGTGTGCCCATAATTACAAAGATACTACCCACTACTCAACTTCACTTCTCCAAGGGTTCATTGTCCTTTAATATTACCACACTGGGGACCATGCTTTTACCACTAGGACTTTTGGAGGGCACTTAAAATATTAACAATGCCAGTGGACATGCTTTTACATCTGTCTTATGCTGTAGACTCTTCTCTCATCCTGTTTTCTTAGAACAACTCATTGATGAATCTGGAGCATGAGTCTTTGTTTTGTTTCATATGTTCTTTTTTCACTTTACTGTAAATAGATGTTAGAATACAAGATAATACATTATTTTTTAAGTTCTCTTATCAGAAGCCATAATGCATAGAGTAATATAATAGGTAGGTTAGTAACCTTATCTTCATTAACAACATAATATTTGTTTTTGTGATAGTACCAGCTATTGATATTGTCTAGGTCATAAAGTTACCTGCTGGTTTCCATGGAATATCAGTCCCAGGATCCTATTGCTACAATTCCTTTATAGGGAGGGACCTAAGCAACATTACCCATTCTCCTAAGGTCCCAAAGTAAACCAAGACATGTGTACTGGGTGGTTTTGTATGTCAACTTGACACAAACTAGGTTCATTAGAGGAAGGAGCCTCAGTTGAGGAAATGCATCCTTGAGATCCAGCTATGAGGCATTTTCTGACTTTGTGATCAAGGGGGAAGGGGCTAGCCCATGGAAATAGTGCCATGGCTGGGCTGTTGGTCTTGGGCTTTATTACAAAGGAGGTTGAGCAAGCAATGGGAGGCAAGCCACTAAGTAGCTAGTCTTCATGGCCTCTTCATCAACTCCTGCCTCCAGGATTCTGCTCTCTTTGAGTTCCTGTCATGATTTCCTTCAGTGATGAACACCAATGATTTTTGATCATGTTGTGTCAGGAGTTGGGTATTGCAGTGACAGAACTGACCATGTTTTTGTAAGGATTGTGGAAGGACTTTGGGCAAGAAGAACCATTTATTGTTAAAAGCTCAGTGGGGTGTTCTGTGGAACTTGTAAGAAAGAATGTTAAGAACAGTGCAGAAGATAAGAGGACTGCCTTGTGAAATTTCAGAGGGAATATTAAAAACACTACCAGGCTGTTATGATAAATATTTCTGCCAAAGGCTGCCGAGCCCCACCGCCACATGTGGGCAGTCTCCGCCAGCCGCCCAAGTTCTGCCCACTGCGTGGATTGACAAAATGATTGAGACATATTAGATACAATACTACTTGGCCAATGACTAGGATTCTCATCTGTCAGCTCAGTCTTAATTATCATAAATCTATATATTTTATAAGACTTATCTTATCGGACGCCTTATTGGCATCCCTCCTTGCCGGTGGATCACATTGTGCTGCTGGAGGAGCAAGGGGAAAAAGGGACCCTTCCTGTTTCTCCATCGCTTAAATATGAGTCTCCTTGCTATGTCACTTCCTGCCTGCATCACTACTTCTCTACCACATTTCCCAGAATCCTCTTTGACTCCTAGTCTTGTCTAACTTGCTGTCTCATTGGCCAAACAGTATTTTATTTAACAATCAATAAGATAAACATACACAGAAGTACTTCCCCATCACCAGGCAGTTTATTATTTTGAATTAAGATCCTGTGGTTTTTCTTAGCTGGGGGCTGGAGAATCAGCTGTGATTAACAAGATACCAGAACTACTAACGCAAAATTTTGCTTTGATGGAAGACTTACTGATGGTTGGGTGCAGGTAAGAAATTAGTGAAGGTCAGGGGTGGATTGGGAGATGTTGAGGTAGGAGAAACTTCAGTGTTGGCTCTGGGTCTTACATTTGCTCTCCTCATGGCACCAATCTATAAATCATTAGGAACCATTTCATTAACTTTTTTTGCCAGTCATTTTTTCTTTATTTGAATTTGAAAAGGGATCAACTTTATAAATACAAATACAAAGTTATTGCTGTGTTAATCTATGTCTTTCATTTTCTTTTGACAGCTACACCAGGCGACGAAAGCCCAGAGTCTGCCATGAATAATTCATAAACAACACATAGGTTTATTTGGAGATCTTAAAAATCCTTGGCTTCAGGTTGACATTTCATCCATTACAGGGGAAGAAAAGATCTTCATTTTTCTAGTGCAGTGAACTAATTTAACCTCCCCATTGCTGAAGCACAATGCTCACTGGTGCACAGGCATGGACTGCCACCCACACAGCACTGGAACAACAAACATCATTATATTTCAAGCTATAAAACTCAAATTCTAATTTGTGAGAAATTAACAATAACTTTTGATGACTCACTGGATACAAGATAAGATTTATGTAACTTCATAAAGAGAAAATCATCATCCAAAGTAAAGATGTCATTTGTTTTTTTTTTAATGATTTTTTTTTAAATTTTTTTTTTGAATTTAAAACTTGAATTGTTTTACATGACAATCCCCGTTCCCTTCTCCCTCCTGACCTCCCCTACCACTATCCCAACTAAAACCCTATCTATCACATATCCTTTCTGCACCCCCTGGATGGTGAGGCCTTCCATAGGGTGTCATCAGAGTCTATTGTATCCTTTGGGGATAGGGCTTAGGCCCAGTCCCGTGTATCTTGGCTCAGGGATTATTACTCTATATGGAATGGGTTCCCAAATTTCTTCTATCCTAGGTCTATGGGCTATCCAGTCTCTGGTTCTTGAGATCCAGGATGCATTGGGCATGTGTTCCATCTCATGGATTGGTCCTCTGGTTACACAAGTCCTCTAAGTTTTGTCCCACCATTGCTACAGCATATTTTTGCAGGCAGGACACTGGTAGATGAAAGGTTTTATGTCTGGGTTGGTGTTTCAGTCAAGTACAATATTTTTGATCTATAGTTAGTGTAATCTGTGGAGGTATAATATGTAGATTCAGAGGCTAACCTATGATTTCACATCCTATCCTTTAAATTCTCATTAATTTACAACTACAATGTATTTTTACATTAACACTGCTATAATTTACTTTTGCATATTCTATATATTCATAGTTTCATTTTCTTTATTCCCATTTTAGGGAAATATTTCTCAAATGATTTCATAGATTCACTTCTATTAATGTATTTTAAAATCTCTGACTATATTTTGCTCTTCTGAGAAACTATTTGAAATGGGTAAAATTATGAACTTAAACACCTCAGGATTTCATACATTGCTATTTTTCTAACATTTATTGATATACATCAGTCATTCAGTACTCATTTAAAAATATTATACCAAGAAAAGCAATGAAACTAAATATGGCATTATGAATTGCCATCTAAATACAAGAAGTATTGGGGAATAACATATACCTGAAAACACACTGACTCATTATAGCAAAAGCATTTTGATGATAAAATCAGTGTCATCTCTAATTTAATACCTATTGTCCTAAGCTCTCTGGTAGAACAAAAAATGGAAAACTAACTTTCTTCACATTTATAGTGAAAGAGTTAAAGATTGTCCAAGGAAGATTAAATTGTAATTTTCAGTTGATGAAATATATGAGCGAGACAAAAATTATTGGTGTAGAAAATAATGTCATGAATATATCTTCGGAGAGGCAATCTTTGTATTTTTAGAAGGTTCAAAAATATCAAGAAACAATTTGGTTCACACATTGAAACACGAGGTGATAAAATATGAGCAACACAGTTAATATTCTGCATGTGATTAGTAAGAGAACCAATTCTACTACTTTAAAATGTCTTCACATTTATTTATTTATTCTATGTGTTTGTGTTTGGTGCATACATGTTTGTGCAACATATAGTACCTATGGTGGTAAAAAAAGCATCAGACTTCTTGGAACTGGTATTACAGAGAGTTGTCAGGTGAAATGTGAATTCTGAGAATCAAACCCAGGTCCTCTGGAACAGCAGCCAGTATTCTTAATGACTGAGCCATCTTTACAGTCCAAACCTTTATTTTTTGATTGCATGCTTGAAGTATAAACTCAAACAGGAGAAAACTACAACTTGACCTCAAAATACTAATGTATAACACAGTAAACCCTGAGTGTAGGAATTATCTTCTTTTCTTGAGAAACTGAGTGAACATTGGCTAGTAATAAACTATAAAGCTGGAACTATAAGAAAAATATAGGCTGTGTTAGTCTTAATGCAATGACTCTTCTTGTTTACTTACTTCTTATGTATGTCCATGATAACTTGATGGTTGTAACAGTGAAAATTACCACCAGAAAAACTACCACCAGTGTCATATCTGCCATCCAGCTATTATATAAGGAAAATAGGGGATCTGAAATAGAAACTAAGAAAGTTAAAAAATTAGAAAATTAATGAAGCTGTGTATTAGACAAAGAGAAGTTAAATGATATCATTTAATATCTTTTTACTATCTCTTAGGATTCTTCAAAGATGAATGTGGTGATAGATGCCTTTAATAAGGATTAGGAAGCTGAGGCAGGAGGACTAATTCCAGCCTCTGTTACATAAGAAATTCTGTATCAGAAAAGAAAGGAAAAAAGAAGGGAAGGAAGGAAGAAAGGATGAAGGAAGATGAAGAGAAAAATAATTTAATCTGCAGAGCCATTGTTTTGCTGCATAAAATGGACTGATTCAACCAATTCTCACAACCATATAAAAGAGATATTTTATATCCTTTTGTTATTATCTACTATTGTCAATGTTCATGCTGCAATAGATGAAAATTTGGGGGAACCTCAGAATGAGTTGAATGAATTTTGGGTTTAAGAGAAATATAAATATTTGGAAACCATAATGTAACAAGCAGAATTGACTTCCAAAATATCCATACATACTTTCTAAACATTTGCATCATGTTATATTATATTGAAAAGGAGTCTTCTGATGTCGTTAAAGCTATAAACCCTAAAATAAGATTGTTTGGGTGAACCCAATCTAATAATACAAACTCTTAAAAGAGGAGACACTAGCCAGATTCAGAAAGAAGAAGATAGAGAGTGATGTATCATGGAAAGACACCCGACCCATCTTGTTTTCCAGGTCTCATTGGAAACATATGATGTAATTCAACTCAGGCTCCACATGATGGCTAGCAAGAAAACAGGACTCCATAACCACATTTGCACCAAACTATCCAACAATATAAACAAACTTGGGGATCCACAAATGAAACACTGATTAGGGTAGAACCATACATGATTGATCATCAAACAAAAAGAAGTCAATGAAATTATTCTTAATGATATTCTGCTACACTCATAGAATGGGTGCCTAGCCCAGTCATCATCAGAGAGGCTTCCTCTGGTAGCTGATGGGAGCAAATACAGAGACACACAGCCAAACATTAGGAGGATCTCAGAGAAGCCCATATAAGATGGAGAAGGAAGGACTGTAGGAGCCACAGGTTCAATGGCACAAGGAAAACAAGTAAGCAAGGTTCCTAGGGGCTCAAAGAGACTGAAGCAACAATCACAAAGCTTGCATGGGTCTGCAGTAAATCCTTTGCACACTTGCTGTGATAGTTTAATTTGAGGTTTTTATGAGGGTTCAAATGGTGAAAGTGGGAATGTCTCAGACTCTTTTGCCTGCTCATTAGACCCCCTTTCTCCTACTGGGTGGCCTCACCCTGCCTTGATAGGTGGGTTTATGCCTAGTCTTTTTGAATCTTTTTGTGCTATGTTAGGTAGGTATCACTGGGATGCCTGATTTTTTTTCTGAAGTGAAATAAACAGTGATTTGGGGAGGGAGAGGAGATTGTGGGGGTTGGGAGACTTGGAAGAGTGGAGGGAGAGGAAGCTCTGATTCAGATGTAATGTATGAAAGAAAATAAATAAAAATAACCAATATGGGTCTCAGGCCCTACTTCTGCTTGCCCTCTTTGGGATCTCCTAGCCTGGGGACTGCATGCAACCCAGTCTACGAACATTGCTGGGCTAGTACCACCATTACTCAGAGGAGAGGTGAGCATGTGCCCCTTACTCAGGCCCAACTTCTGCTTGCCCTGTTTGGGATCTCTTGGCCTGGGGACTGTGGGCAGGTCTACTGGCCCCAAGCAGATCAAGCCATCCAGAGTCTGTTGACATCCACCCAGCAGGAGAGGGAGTGTCTTAGACCCACCTGCAATGACCTTGAGACTCATTGTAGTGTTGGACCTGCTTGCACCCACCAGAAGAGAACCTTGGACCCATACCCACCAGGAGAGGAAAAGACCCCACGTGCACCCTCTAGAAGAATGGATGGACAGGAGACAATATAAGAACACATTCAACAACAGAAAAACCAATATGATGTCACCAGCATCTAGAGACTCTATGTTAGCAAGACCTAAACATCCAAACATAGATGCAGCAGAAGAGAATGACCTTAAAAACAACTTCATGAAGATGATAGAGAATCTAAAATGGAAGAAAAAAACAAACAAAAAATTCAAGCAATGGAGGAAAAGACAAACCAAAAATTGTAAGAAACAATTCAAACAGTTCAATGTTTGAAAGCTGAAATAGAGACAATAAAAAAACCACAGTCTGAGGAAATGCTGGAATTAGAAGAGCTGGGTAAACAATCAGGAACTACAGATGCAAGCATAACCAACAGAATATAAGAGATGCAAGAGAGAATCTGTGGTGTTAAAGATACACTAGGAGAAACAGATTCATTTACTAAAGAAAATCTTAAGTCCAACAAATCACAAAATATCCAGGAAATATGGGACACTGTGAAAAGGCAAAACCAAACCCAACTCAAAGGGACAGAAAATATATTCAACAAAAATCATAGAAGAAAACTCTCCCAACCTAAAGAAAGACATGCCAATGAAAGCACATGAAGCTTACAGAACACTAAATAGAGTAGACTACACAAAAATGTTCCCCTACCACATAATAATCAAAACACCAAACACACAGAATAACAAAAGATTATTAAGAGCAGCAAAGGAAAAAGACCAAGTAACATAAAAAGGCAAACCTATCAGAATTACACCAGACTTCTCAATGGAAACTCTGAAAGCCAGAAGGACCTGGATAGATATTCTACAAACAGTAAGAGACCAAGGATGTCAACCCAGTCTACTAAACCCAGCAAAGCTTTTAATTACTATAGATGGAGAAACAAGATACTCCATGACAAAACCAGTTTTAAACAGTACATATCTACTAATCCAGCTCTACAGAAAGTACTGGAAGGAAAACTCCAACCTAAAGAAGTTAACTACACTCAAAAAACACAGGCAATAGATAATCCCACTTTACGAAAACCCAAAAGAAAAATCAAGGTAAATCCACACACAATACCACCATCACCATCAAATCCAAAACAAACAAAAAGGAACAATCAATGGTCCTTAATTTCCCTCAATATTAGCGGTCTGAACTCACCTATAAAAAGACAGAAGCTAACAGAATGGATAACAAGACAGAATCCATCCTTCTATGCATATAAGAAACACACCTCAACTTCAAAGACAGACAGTATCTCAGAGTAATGTTTGGGAAAAGATTTTCCAATCAAATGGACCCAAGAAACAAGATGGTGTAGCTATCCTAATATCTAACAATTTAGACTTCAAACTAAAATCAATCAAAAGAGATGAAGGAGGTCATTTCATATCTTCACAGGAAAAATCCATGAGGATGAAGTCTCAATTCTGGTCATCTATGCCCCAAATATAAGGCACCCACGTGTGTAAAAGAAACATTACTATAACACAAATCCCACTTAAAACCTCACACACTTATTGTGGGAGACTTCAACACCCTCGTCTCACCGCTAGACAGGACCACCAGACAGAAACTTAACAAAGAGACAAAGGAACTAACAGAAGTTTTGACCCAATTGGGTTTAACAGACAACTAAAGAACATTGCATCCAAACACAAAACAATATACCTTCTTCTCAGCATCACATGGAACTTTCTCTATAATCAATCACATACAACATAGCAAACCTCAACATGTACAAAAAAATGGAATAACTCCCTGTTTCTTATCAGACCACCATGCTTTAAAGTTAGAATTCAACAAAAACATGAATTGCAGAAACCTTACAAACTCTTGAAAATTGAAAAATGCTCCAATTGCACCATTCCTGAGTCAAGGAAGAAGTAAGAAAGAAATTAAGGATTTCCTATAATCCAATGAGAATGAAGACACAACATACCCAAACTTATGGGACACTTTGAAAGCAGTACTAAGAGGAAAGTTCATAGCACAAAGTGCCCACAAGAAGAAACTGGAGAACAGTCACATTAAAGAATTAACTGCACAACTGAACACTCTAGAACAAAAAGAAGCAAACTCACCCTGGAGGAATAGATGCCAGGAAACAATCAAATTGAGAGCTGAAATCAATGCAGTAGAAACAAAGAAAAGAATCTAAAGAATCAATGTAACAAAGAGTTGGTTCTTTGAGAAAATCAACAAGATAGACAAACTTTTGACAAAACTAAACAAAAGGCAGAGATAGAACATGCAAATTAACAAAATCAGAAATGAAAAGGGGGCCATAAAAACAGACACTGAGGAAATCCATAGAATTTTCAGGTCATACTTTGAAAACCTGTACTCCTGTACTTCTGGATAGATTTTACTTACCAAAATTAAATCAAGACCAGATAAGCAATTTAAACAGATATATAACCCCTGATGAAATAGTAGAAGCTGCCAAAGTCTGTCAACCAAAAAAAGCCCAGGGCCAGATGGATTCAGTGCAGAATTCTTCCAGAAATTCAAAGAAGAGATAATACCAATACTCCTCATTGTGTTCCACACAATAAAAGCAGAGGATTCATTTCTAAACTCTTTTTACTAGGCTACAATTACCTTGGTAGCCAGCCACACAAAATGCAATTAAGAAAGAGAACTACAGATCAATATTCCTTATGAACATTGATGCAAAAATACTCAATAAAAATACTGGATGGTGGAGATTACTTTGGGCAAGATGTGGTACCCTCAAACTAATTGGTGCAGGAGACAGCTTCCTGAATATAACACCAGTAGCACAGACACTGAAATAAACAATTAATAAATGGAACCTCATGAAACTGAGAAGCTTCTGTAAAGAAAAGGACAGTTAACAAGACAAACAGCAGCCTACAGAATGGGAAAAGATATTCACCACCATGCCCCATCTGACAGAGGGCTGATCTCCAAAATATACAAAGAACTCAAGAAGCTAGTCTCCAAAACAGCAACTTAGCCAATTTAAATAGTGGGGTACAGAACTAAATAGACAATTCTCAATAGAAGAATCTAAAACAGCTGAAAGACACATAAGAAAGTGCTCAACATCCTTAGCCATCAGGGAAATGCAAATCAAAACAACTCTGAGATACCATCTTACACCTGTAAGAATGGCTAAAATCAAAAACACCAGTGACAGTTTATGCTGGAGAGGATATGGAGAAAGGGGATCACTCCTTCACTGTGTGTGGGAGTGCCAACTCATACAGCCACTTTGGAAATCAGTATGGTGGTTCCTCAGGAAAATAGGAATCAATCTACAACAATATCCGGCAATTCCATTCTTAAGCATATATCCAAAAGATTCACATTCACACAACAAGGGCATTTGTTCAACTATGTTCATAGCAGCATTATTTGTAATATCCAGAACCTGGAAGCAACCTAGATGCCCCTCAACTGAAGAATGGATGGAGAAAATGTGGTACATTTACACAATGGAGTACTACTCAGTGGAAAAAATAACCTAATGGAATCTTGAAATTCACAGGCAATTGGATGGAACTAGAAGAATCCATCCTGTGTGAGGTAACCCAGTCACAAAAAGGTAAACATGGTATTGCCTCACTCATATATGGATCTTAGACATAGAGCAAAGGATTACCAGCCTACAATCCACACCAACAGAGTTGCTAGGAAGCAAGGAGGACACTAAGAGATACATACATGGTCCCCCATAGAAATGGAAATGGACAAGATCTCCTGAGAAAATTGGGAGTATGAGGGGAGCAGAAAGGGAGTTAGGAGAAAGAGAAGGGAAGAAGAGGAGGGGAAAGGAGGACATAAGGTAGCAGGAAGATTGAGTTTGGGGAAAATATAGGAGAGCAAGAAAAGAGGTAGCATTAATAAAGGGAGCCATTATCAGTCTAAAGAGAAATCTGGCACTAGGGAAATGTCAAGAAATCTACAAGCGTGATCCCCTAACTAGCAATCTAAGCTATAGTGGAAAGGCTACCTTAAATGCCTTTCCTCTATAATGAGATTGATGACTACCTTATATGCCATCCTAGAGACTTCATTCAGTAGCTTATGGAAGCAAAAGCAGACACCCACAGCTAAACACTGAGCTGAACTCCTAGAATCCAGTTGCAGAGAGAGAGAGGAGTGATGAGCAAAAGCGTCAAGACCAGGCTTCAGAAACCCTCAGAAACAGCCCACCTGAGCAAGGAGGAGCTCATGGACCCCAAACTGATAACTAAATTAACTACAAAAGCACATTGATAAGTGGGGAAATTATTTGTGAAGAAAATGAGAAGTTTAGTAGAGAGAATCATAAAATAAAGACAAACAAGAATCCTTTGCTGAAGGGCATAATGGAGGAAACCAAAAGGGAACACGGAGTATCAGCATCACAAGAAATTGATCAAAGAGAGTAACCAATCCTTAAACTGAGTGAGGGAGGGAGAGATTACAGAGAGATTAGAGATTATTTGGAATTATCAAAAGAGGAGGGAAAAATAAAACATGAAAAGAATGAATAAATCTTATATTGCATGGGAGACAATATCAGATGGATACGTTTTGCATAATAGTGATTATAGGAGGAATACAGAGATTATTTAACAAAATATTAGATGAAAACTTCACAACTTTAGGAAAACATAGGAGCACCAGACTACACAAATCTCAATGAAATCCAATGACACTCAATCCAAGGAATATTTCACTAGGACATACTATATCCAAACTGTCAAAAATAAACAAACACCTATCCATATACTATTGAAACAATGGCACTTACTATAATATTTTTTAATTCATGAACTGTGAACATATATATACCTAGGGAAAGGCATCAAGACATTCTGAATGCAGGAAAATCATTCTATGAACCATAGACCAGATAAAGGGTAATAACACAACACAACACACACACCTCACATGTATGCAATAGTAAGGGTTTTCTTATCCATTGTTAGTGACATGCAAATTGATGCAATGATCAGTTGCTTATAAAGGTATTTGAGCACCAACATATGATCCAGTTCAACTCATTAATCCACCCACAATTGACTACAGTGATCATTAAAACCTTCTATCATGCCAAAAACCTGCCAAACCTTCTATCATGAGGAGGAATTGCAAGCTGTTGGCTCTTGAAATAGCTGAGATGGTCTGTATCATGTCCGTGCTCCCTACATGTTCTCCTTCAGAATCTTCATGGGTTATAATAAGACATTACTTGATCAAAGATGTTCTGAGTAATTTGGGGTTAGTTGCCTTATTTTCTGGGTATTTTATTGTGAATATAAATGCAAATTGTTTGCCTTTGGTGATAAATGCATTGGAAAATTGACTTCTTAGTTTTATAAATTCTACGGGAGAATTTTTCGTGGGAATCAGACGTGTACAAGCCTTTGTATTCTATGACCCAAGGCCTATCTAGCAAGAGTTTGGAAACTAAGCAAATAAAGAGAGCCCCTCTGGTGACCACCATAACTCTGATGTTCTCTTTTATAGTTTGGAAGAAATGTGCATGTTAATAGCATAGTATTGTTTGCATTGATTGCGGCTAATGATTTTGTATACACATTTCCCCATTAGCCTTTAAAGAATAAAATATTGTCAAATGTCAAAATCATATTTTAATGATATTCTACTCACCATAAACTCTACTTCTTAATAATGACCATATTTCATACTTAATAGATCCACAGAAGGAATTAAAAGTTTAAAAAGCATCATGAATTTGGATATAAGTGAAATGTCAGTACTGAAATTAAATATTCTTTATATTTCATATATTTTCAGTACAGACTGTAAGACAAAACTAAAAATTTTTGACCCATATGCATATATGTGTGTTGATTATTAAAGGGAGAAAAAAATATTTAAAATAAATGAGAGTTGATTCAATGATATTTTCTGGAACTATATTTCTTTCTTCTGTGGCAAGAGTAGAAAGATCTGGTCCTCTACACAGCTGAAAGAACTGGCAGATTTAGTTGTTGCCTCCCACACACTTTGTTAAAATATGATTCTTTTAGATTACACCCAAACCACAGATCCTCCTGGAGATGATGTAAGTTTCACATAACTAAAGAATCCCAAAGAGACATGCATATAGGAATACAATAGAACTAAAATATGCTATCACCATTAATTCTATTTACCTTTGTTCCGTAATTGCACATAGTTATGAAGGATTATTACAGAGAAGATCATGAAACACAGGAATTGCAAGACAATTACTATTATGTCTAATTTATGGAAATATGGGTCGCATATGGGTGCACATTCTAGAACAGAGAGAGAGCCAGAATTAATAAAAGGAACTTAGGAGTATGAGACAGTAACCGAAGGACAACCACATGAAAAGGTCATTATCCCTTTCATATTCATCTCTAAGTAGAACTAAAGCATCAGGCTTGTTTTGTGACTAGAACATTTCAGCTGGATTTGTAAAACTACCAGAGATAAGAGTAATTTCCTTTTCTGACCCTAACAACCTAACCTAGCACAAAATTAGTGGCTGTAGGGACAGGAGACAGCTCAGCTCAAGTCTTCATCATATTCAATCTTGGGCAATAGTAGCTATGAGAACAGCTTTAGCTGAAATGAGGGGATTTAGTTGGATCCATGGATTCTGAAAACTGAAATGGCCTGCTCCTTCAGCGATATCAGTAAACACCCTCTCACCTTCAAGCTGCTAAGACCCTGTTCCTAAACTGAACAGACAGTACACAAATGTGTCTCTATAGAGATATGTATCCAAAGGATAGTTAATCTTCATATCAATCTTCATATCACTTTCCAGAAAAAGATGTTTTGACTTTTAGTCTCTGGATGGCAGGGAATTGTTATTTGTGTGCGTGTGTGTGTGTGTGTGTGTGTGTGTGTGTGTGTGTGTGTGTGTGTGTTTCCAGAATCACCATTGGACATACTGTGTAGAAATTATCTTATATCAAAAGAGAATAAACTTCCCATAACTACCTTGGAATAGACTATTTCAATGACTAAGTGGTCTCCACAGTCTGGAAGATGCACAAGAAGAAACGTAAAACCAAGTTGTTGGGGGATATTTGATCACACCGTGAACCCCAAGTTTGCTTTTGCATTAACTAAATAAAACTAAACTTGTGCCAGGATGTGGAGTTAGCAACTAGTTGGCAGAATGTAATCATAGAGCCTCAGAGGGCATCCAGCAGAGATAGAGAGACATAGAAAATAGGAGGGAGGATTTTGAATGGCAAGGCTTTTTTGTGTGTTTTGGTGGGGCAGAAGGACGTACTTTTGAGGAGACACCAGGAAGGAGAGAAGGTTATCTAGTTTCTGTCCAACCTCTCTGAGTTACCATGTTTTAACTCTAGCCTTTGAATTTTGAGTCTTATTCATAAATAGAACTATAGAGATTTAATTAAAGCTACCTTTAGCAGCAGTGACAGAGCCCATACCTGTGGGAATAACTTACCCACCAGGCTGCAGCCTGAGCAGACAGGCTACTGTCAGAGAAGCAGGCTGGTAACTGTGCAGTTGTAATTGCTGGCTGAAATAGCAGTAGATTAAGGCACAGCCAAAGTTAAAATCAAAGTTAAAACAACACCAAGAACTGAAAGATAACATCATAATAATATGGCATGAAATTTGGAGCCCAACATACATGGAGGTCAGTCTTGGCTATGTCCCTTATAACCTGTGTAATCCACTATTTTCTAACCTCTAAGTAAGAGAACTAACATTTAGGAATAATTAGATAAACTCAATAAATTGATTATCACAATACTTGGCACAAGTAATTGGCTAAATATAATTCATTAATTAGGAGTCCATGGATTAGATAAACTAATAGAATGGATTTCAACTTCCTTGAGTCATATTATCTTTGAATCAATGTTAAATTACAGCCTTCTTTCATCACTTTGATTCAGATTCCTTTGTGAGCTATCAAATTGCTATTCTCTGCTTTATTATTTACTCATTCTCTGAATTCTTGTGTCTCCATATAGAAGCTTTACTCTGTTCTATAGTAAACAACAGATTTTGTTTTGTCATTGGAGTTGGAAAGTTTGAGGTGACAGAAGGTTACTCTACTGTGATGAAAACAGTATTTCTTAAGAAAAGGAATATATCCTTTAATTTTCAGTGTTTCAATTAGTGCTCCTTTTAGTGTTTAGAGTGTTGTGTTTAAAGGATATAGAAATTAACTGTGGATCAGTAAAAGGCCAGGAAATATTCATAGTGACCTTCATCCCTAAAACCAACATTGCCTAGTAATCTCAATGTTTCGAGGTACAAATCCAACATCTGTGAAATAGAAGTAAGTTGTGCACTAAAGTGGAAAATGGATGTCATTTAATTTTAACTAACTTCTACTTGTGATTTAGGCATAAAGCTAAAAACCCTTAATAATTCTATCCTTCTTGATCAGTTACCTGATTTGATGAAGATAAAAATTAAAAGGTATAATAATAAATATAAAAAGATTGATATTGAGAAGAAAATGAAAATGAATTTTTTCATGTTGTTTTCATTAAACAGGGCATCTGAAAAAAAAAAGAGAACATCTTTAAAATGCACATATCATTAACAGCGCCAGACCAGGGAGATGCTGCCAGAAGGGCAGGTTTCCCCTTCAGGTTCTGCAACTCTTCTCATCCTTTTTCACCTCCCTCCCTCCTATTTCGTCCCACCACATTCCTCCCTCCCTCTCTTCCTATCACCCTCCAACTCCATCTCTTTCCCTCCCTCTCTCCCTTCCTCCCTCCCTCTCTTCCTGTCTCCCTCCCGCCCTATCTCTCTAGTTCTCCCTTCTTCCTCCTCTGTCTCTTTCCTCTTCCTTATTCCTCCATTTCTTCATTCCTTTCTTTTTCTCCTTTGGTTCCTCCTTCCTATCTGTCTCCCTCCCTCTCTTCATCTCTCACTTTCTTCCCTCTTGCCTCCCATTTTCTGTGTCTTACTCAGAACTACACACTGGTAGACCTGATTTTGTGGCAACTACAGAGAATGTCTGAATAGTAAGTTCATCTTGGAGATATAATTCCCACCTCCAATTTCTCCGATATCAATAACCCTCCCTACCCATTCAATTTTGCCTCTCCCTTTTCAAAATAAATTCTTCAAGTCCAATTTGTGTTGCCTAAATACTCTCTGGATGTATGGATTTCCACTGGATCCCAGTTGATCTATCAAGAATAACACCCTTTAAAAAGCTAATTCTCCCTTCTCAGCTACTATCAGTTGCTGATAGTTCATTAGGTAAAGGAATCTCCCTCTCTTTTCTAGGATTTTGTGTGGCTTGAGCTCATGCATGTCTACCACATGCAACTACAGCCACCTTGATTGCATATGGAAACTGAAATTTGTACAGCGATTTCACTCAAGAGGCTTACTGGTTTTTTTCCGTAAGATATGCTCCCTGTATTGAATGAAAATTCATCTTTCATGATTCTTTTCTATGATCTTAGAATTATTTTTTTAGTTTGTCTTTCACCATATATTTAGTGTATCAGTAAATTCATTCGTGTCTACTTTAAAAATATTTGTAGTATTTTACTCACTTTCTATTTGAAGCAGTTTCTTTTCATATTACCAAGCTGAATTCAAATTCTATCACCATCCTGCCTAAACCTTTCAAGTGCCTTCCTGCCTAATTTATGATTCCTATTCATTACTGTGAAATCTGATATTACAAAAGGCATCACTAGACAGCTCTATTTAGTCACAGCAAAGATTTCAGTCAATTTCCTAATTCTACAGCACATTGCAGAGTTTTTAAAAGAGAGAGAAAACCATACCTTTAGTTAATGTAGAAAAATATTGGGTGAACTAGTATCTAAAGATATAAACTCTCCTCTCCCCACCCACCCACAGTCTGTTCATGAGAAACTTAACTTCTGCACATAGGTGTTAGTGAAAGATAGCTTTGTTAAACATATGACATTTTCTTGATTTGTTTTTCATTCATCTATAATGGAATGAACAATGAGCAAGTAATCACATAATCTACATTTTACTTACACATTTTTCTTATGGCTATTCTCTCTCTCTCTGACTCTCACTCTTTGTTATATATCTCACTGTCATAACTATTTTTATGTGTTTAATCTATAGGAATTTTACAATGCTAGTTCTAGCACTGAATACTATGTGACAGTAACCAATATGTCCTAATGACTTAGAATTCATAAAAACCTACAAAATATGCTTGTATTTTTCTAATGATATATCATTTTTATCTTACTGAACTAGCATCTTGTTAAACTTGAACACAAATGAAAATTATTGTGACAATGTCTCTAGAGCTCTAAGATATGCTTAATTATAAATTTCTACCATTTGACTTTCTTCTAATACACTACACTTAACATTTGTCTTACCAAAACCAGTATCAATGATAAAGAGGCACACTCAAATAAAGTTCTGCAGTGCAGTAAGTCTTTTAACATTAATCCATTGGTTTATGCTTCCAAGTTCACAATTAACCCCTCATGACGGAGTACTTACTTGCTAGGATGAGATTTGTTTGCTTCTCTTCACCTGTTAGAGGGTTAAGGACACAGCATGTGATACTTTCCTGAGACTGGTTTCTAAGGAGAAGAGTCGTCTTCATGTGGAAAAATCTCTCTCCATCCTGTGAGTGTGATATTGAATCATATGGAACTACTTCCCCTTTGCTGTCTCTCCACTCCATTTGGGGACGTGGGAACCACCCTGCTGTAAAGCACTCTACAATGATTCCTCCAAAACCAGGACTCTGAACATGGATTTGCGTCTTCAATCCAAATGCTGGTAGAAATGACCAGGAGTTAAAAGCATAGTGATTATACTGAGTTTGGACTGATAAGTTGGGGAAAAGGGGGAATCTCAATCATAATGTTCTGCAGTCTAATAATTTGGGTGAATCAACTTTCATATTTTATTTTCACGTTATGCTAATTAATTGTTATGCAATGTATATTTCCTGCATAGTTTAATTTTGAGAGCAATGTGTGACTTTTACTCATTACTTGGCTATTTTAAAAGCATACAATATCTAAAAGCAATTACAAACTACACTGATAATTTTCATGTATTTCAGTTTAACGGGCACAACTATACTGTGTTCCACAAACAACTTACCTGCCACACTAAGGTTTGTGCTGGCCACATAACTGAAGGCACTGTCATTAAATAGACATTGGTAAAGCCCATCATCAGAAATGCTGATATTATGAATTCTCAGGGCCACTTTTCCCTTCCCAATGGCCTCTTTCACAAACTCTATACGATTTACATATTCAGGTGCAGCTTCTCCATTTGCTCCATGGCTACCTTTGTATAGGTAAACAGGTTTGGAATGGCCACTCCTGAACCAGCGCACCTCCATATACTCCACACTGCGTGGTGGGGTCACCTGGCAGCTGAGCTCAGCCTGGACTCCCACTCTAGCCACCAAGTGTTCAATGGGAGCAGTCACCATCAGATTCTCTGTGGAGAAAAAACTGAAAATCAAAATAAATCGGAAACTAACAAGACTCTGCTGCTACAAGCTACTTAGAAGAACATACCAAATCCCGCCCACATTTAAGTATTCAACAATGATTACATTCATTCTCATCTTTCAATATTTTAAAACCAATGTTAGTTCATTCTTATCTTTAAAGTAGAATGAAATGGAGTAGGAATCCCAATAATCTGTCTTGCTACTTAAGAATTCTATAAAAAGAATCTTCCAGGTATAACTACATTGGAATTCTGGAATCTATTGAATGATGTTTGTCAGTTTCTGTGACAGTATATGTGACAAAATAGCTAAGGAAAATAATTTTAATGAAAAATTATATCTTGACTCATGGTGGCAGAGGATTCACTTCATGGTAGATTTTTACCACTGTTTCTCATGCCTGCTGAGATAGAATGTCATCCTGGAGAATGTGAAACACAGTTGCCTATTGCCAGAAAGCACAGAGAGTAGAAAAGAAATGATGAGGATTTTCCAAAGTGTTCTTTTATTTGTCGAATTCCTCTAACTACACACTACCTCCTGCTTCATTCTCCATCAATAATGCCATAATATCATGAACCCATCAAGGTACTGATACATTGATGGAGGCAGAACAAACTAAGTCTCATCACCTCTCAATGGTTGGATATCTTCATTAACAACCCTTTAGCACATGTGTGTCATTGAGGAGAAATTTCAAAGCCAAATAATGACTTACAACTTCAATTAAGGTTTATAGTCATTTTCAGCTTTTATCACAACAACGCCTAGACCCCCAACCCTTAGTTTATTGATGAACAGTTGTCCATATTTTTTCAGGGTAAGTCTGGGTAGTTTATGAGAGCCAGGATGAGGAAAAAAACTTTATTTTCCAATTTTTGGAGAGCTATGTTCTGGTCATTGGTTACTGCCTCTATCACATAAGCATAGACCAAGAGGTGGTTAGTTATTTTTGAAGCTTCTCCTAAAGTTAAAATCTTACCCTTTCCTAACTGAAATTGTTTAAAGAATTTTGGTCCTTGTAAATTTATTTTTGAAAGAGAGCATTAGGGGGAGAATTGGAAAGAATACAAATGCATGGGGAAACAGTTTCTGAAGGCAGCCCTGGAGAAGCCTTAAGCGTATAAGTAGTTACAAGCTCAGACTACAAGAAGCAAAATTTAAAAGCACTGGAAAAGAAGCAAATCCCAAAGAAGGAAGAAATCACATTTTAAAGAGTCATCATATTGTTGGATTTAAATGTCTAGTTTTCAACAAAAATCTCAACACACATGAAGAATCAGGGAAGCACAGCTAATACAAAGGAAAAAATAAATCAGAGAGTCTCCCTAAAGAGATGAGATGGCAGCTCAACTAGACAAAGACTTTAAAGCAAGAATCTTAGTATGCTCAGATAACTAAAGGATGAATAAGGCAAGAAAGAACATATAAGCAGGCCATAAATATAAGTAAAGAGATTGAAAACCGGGAAAAGAAATTCAGGAACTGAAGACCACCTCAACTTCATGCCAATCTTTTATTCCCTGGTCCAAATGGACAATGAAACATGATATAATAATTTCCATTAATATTTTAATGCTTAAGTAGAAATTTCCTTGTTAGATTTAGAAGCAAACTGGAGATCCACTGACAAATGAGCAAATAAGAAAAACATGGTATATACATATAATGAAATATTGTTCAGAGGTAAAAATTCCTGCCATATGCTACAACACGGGTGCACTTAAAGAAAACTATTTTAAATGCTATAAGACAGCTAGAAAAAGACAAAATCTTCATGTGTCCAGTCACATATTCTAATTAGTAAAATACATAGAACAAAGAAGTAGAATTGTGATAAACTGAGGCATTATGATGGGGGAAATGAGGATAACACATTTAATGTAAATAAAAACAACCATGTAATGGTCCATAAAAGCAACTTATTAATCAAAGGCTACTAATACTCATTCACTTTCCTTCCATCTATCACTGCCATTGCTTTCCTTGCTATGTAATACATAATTGATGAATACATTGCTTTTACTGTTTTGAAAATCCTGTCCTCTATTAGATCAATTAATAAAATTGGGAGTATTTTACTATCAACTTTTCCTTCCCTAATGTTTATGTAGTTCTGATTATCTGCCTTTGCAATTTTCCTTATCTTCAACAAGGATAAGACAGAGATACTAATCAAAAATACTCTTCTGTTTTTGTTTCTCTAAGATAACATCAGTGTATCCTTTATATTTGAATGATAATTAATGCATTGTCGTATATAATCCTAAGTTAGTGTGGGTTTCCCTTTCCATGCTTTAAATTATTTTACTTCATCTATTTCTTGCTTGAATGGTTTCTATAAAATTGGAGGCAATTTTCTTTTTTGGGGGGTGGACAGATTTCCCCCTCTTCCCTCCATGACAGCTAGTATCTTAAATTTTATCTTCCATTTTCATTATACTTTGAATACTACATTCAGGGGTACATTTTTTCTTTGCTTTGCCTCTTACCTTGTTTGGTGTTCTCCAAGATTTGTAGATCTATGAGGAATTTATTTCTTTTGCCTTTCTTCTTGCATTACCGCTGTCTGTACACTACAGCTTTGAGAATTATCTCAGAGTTCTGACTTTTCTCTGCAAAAGTTTTAGTCTTTCTTCTCTTTATACACTCCTATGGTTAATACTCAAAGTCAGATGTTCTTTGTCAAGTTTTGTCCTCTTAGTCTACTCACGAACCCGTAAAAGAGAGATTCATTGATTCCGCTATGGTGCTTTTTACATATAAGATTTTTTTTGTTACTGTCTCAGAATTTCTAGCCTTGCTTATATTAATCAATTTGTTCTTACACATTATGCATTTGTTACTATTAGATTATTTACAATATTAATTATGGTTGTATTAAATTTATGGCCTGAAAATTACAGCCTGTGTGATTTAGTTTGTTCCATCCCTATGGACTCTGGTTTTGACTACTGTGTGTCCTGGACAGTTTTGTTGGAAGTCAAATATACTACAATTAATGTACTCTGGTGGTATGTTTTAATGATGTGGTACTAATATGTGTGGGGGAGAGAGAAGAAGCATTCTGTGAAATTATAATGTAGATTCAGGTTTTTAGTGAACCTGTGCGTTTTGGTTGTAACCTTTCTTGAGGACTTCTCAATGTCTCTGTCTCCTAAGAGGTACAGGACAAAAAGAGGTGGCTTAAGTGCAACATTACCCCTTCTTCTCCAAGGACGGTTCAGTCAGGCCAAGAAACTCAACAGGTAAGGTTGTGGGAAAATAGTTCTTGAAGTAGAACTAATTAAGGTGAATCTATTTCAGAATGGTTACTTTCTCTGTCACTCTGTTCTCACCACAAGAAACCTTGTAGAAACGCTGGAAGTAAAAGGCACCATCCACTACCCACCAATTATGGGGCTAATGTGATGTTTCTGATTCAAACAGTTCTACATCTAGGCTCTAGAAACTCAGTGATTTCAGCTCATATTTTCTACTTTACAACTTATTTTCTCAGATCTTTCTTCTCTTCCCAGAGATTCTTGACCTGGTAAATTTCTGTTCCTTTCTGGCTCTCTACCTTGGGGGAAAATGGTACAACCTATAATTTCACACCTTTTTTGAATCTAGGAAGAGTTGATGACATTCAATCTTTAACTGTTTGAAGGCTGGCTTAAAGAAGTACACAAATACCCACAATAAGAATTAACAGATATTTATTTAGGGAGTACTCATACAATGATGTTAAATAACCACCATGTTCTTCCATCAGCTTGTTATGAACACAACCCAAGAGATGGAAAATACAGAGAATCTGGATACTGACTGTGTTGTCTTTGAATTGTTTGACTACTTAGGTAGGAGCAACAGCTATTAAAAGACATTTGATCACAAATTCTGCTTAATCCAACCTATATATTTTGAAAATGCCTTGGCTTCAAAGTTTAAGTCAAAGGACATGTTACTTTGCAAAAGAGGTTCTGCTTTTGTTTCCACAGAATATAAAAAGCGGTGGATTCCTTCCAGACTAATATGGTTTGATTGAGAAAGACCCCCTGAAGCAGTGACCCAGGTTATCTAACATGCAAAACAGCTGAGACTATGCAGCCTCACAGACCACTACAGCCAGGATTATAGTCATGTGATGTGGATGTCCTGCCTGTATGGTGTAAATATATGTTTCTCTTATTGGTTTTAAAAAAAGCTAATTGTCCAGTAGCTAGGCAGGAAGTGTAGGTGTGTCTACCAGACTAAGAGCATGATGGAAACAAGAGAGACAGGGAAGCAGTTGGCAGAGAGTCACCATGAAGCCACAGGGAAGGTAGGATGCCTGGGCATTCTGTGGTAAGGCAAGACCAGGTGGAAATACTTAGGTTAATAAAAAAAAGGACTAACGATTAAGACATAGATAGCCAATAAGAAGCCTGAGTCATTGGCCAAACAGTTTATAATTAATATAAGCCTTATTTGTGTTTATCTGGGGCTAAATGGCTGTGGGAAAAGATGGGACAGAAAATCTGTCTACAGTCACAGTAGTTAGTTTTTCTAGATATACAGAGATATATTTTAGATGGATAGGTATTCTTCAGAAATTTTTAAAGGTCTACAGACTTTTGGCACTTAATATTGTTTGCCAACTTAGGGATTTTTATGAGTATGAGACACATCTGCTTCTGGAAACACAAGTTAGATCAGAGAGGGTAATGGGTATTGAAGAAATTCATTATGGAGTTTGCCTTCAATGTGACAAGGATAACCATTTGGACAAGAAACTGCTTTTGCCTAGATTTCTTGATAGCATTCTGTCCAAGCTGGACAATCAAGTTACAAAGAAAAGTGACTATTGAACTTGTCAATGGACAGGATTGTCTTCAAGATTCCTGCCTCATCCAAAAATCTGCCAGACATTCTAGGCCTATAGGCTTAAGAGGGATGCCTGAAAATTACAGAGAAACTTTGGTGATTGTCCAGGCAGTGAGATGTCTCTGTCAATTCTAGAGTTTATATATTATCCTTCTGGAGTCTTTGATGGAGTTGAAGACAGATAGTTATATTTATGGGTTTTCTTGGATATGCTAAAATATAAGTTACATATAAAACTTTAGACTCACAAAGATAAGATAGATGATAAAATATTTGCTTTAAAATTTGCCAAATGTTAATGAACTATAATGCTTGCTTGGTAACTGTTTTGCTATATATAATTTTACTATGTTAAAGTTAAAACCTTCCTTTTTTATTTAGACAAAAGAGGAGATGATAGGGGATGTCCTTCTCTATGCTGTGAATATATGTTTCTCTTATTGGTTGATGAATAAAGCTGTTTTGGCAGATGGGAAGGCAGGATTTAGTGAGGCAGGAAGTCTGAATAGGGATGGAGAAAGGTAATAGGCAAAGAGGGGGATGCCATGTAGCTGCCAAGAAAGCAAGAGATCTGGGCATCACCAGTGAGCCAAGACCATGCAGAGATACACAGATTAATAGAAATGGGTTAACAATTAAGAGAAAGCTGGCCAATAAAAAGCCTGAACACTAGGCCAGACAGTTTGTAACTAATATAAGCCTCTGGGTGCTTATTTGGGACTAAATGGCTGCTCAGGACCAGGCAGGACAGAAAATTCCATCTACAACTATTTTACTTGATATTGCAATGAAGTGATGTTACTAACCTCCTTCAATATTAAAATGGACAATGAAAGTCTATCTTGCATCCTTTTCATAATTGCGATGGATAAGAAAAAAGTAAATGTTCTTACCAGAAGTTGATGCTATCACTTGCAAGAAAATTAAGCATATATGATACCCAGAAATGTAGGAGTATGTAAGCTTCATCATATCTGAAAAGAACAAATAGAACAAGGTAACAATGAGATATGAGGTATTGATTGTCTAGATAAACAAAATTAATTCATAGTTTTAAAAGGAGACAACCTTAAGGATCCATTAATAATAAATCTCCTTAGTGTTGGAAAAAAAGAGATTGTCCTGACAGATGGCTCTATTCAGAGGAGAACTTCCCAGTTCTTAATTCCTCTAGTTAACACTCCATGGTTTCTTTAACCTTTTGTCCAGACTTTCTAAGTGAGAAGTAACCCCAGGAGATGTATTTTGCAAACAGTGGAAGAAAAACATTTAAAGTAAATTAATAGATATAGGGAACAAAACAGACAGTGTAAAGGCATGCATGCATAAATGTGAGTGAAATGTAACAAAAATAATTTTAATCCATATAATTGAAAAATATATTGAGATAAAATTATGAATGAGCTAATTTCATTTGTTAGAAATTGTGTATATTATTTCTAATGGTGAAATAGTACTAAAACCTGTTAATGAATAATTTTTAGTGGTCACTTTTATACTATATATGTGAGAAGGTTTTATGAATATATTGTTGATAATTGAAAACAAAGACATAATCTCACAAAAGAAAAACCTGGATAAATTGACTTTTTCAAACTTATCAGAGGAAAACACAACCAAGGGCAATTTCTTAAACTGAAATTTGGATACAAGACTGGCCTTATGAAGAAACATTAGTTAAGATTTACTAATCTTGCCAAGACACTGGAGGATGCCACATACACTTTTAATAAGATTAATCACACAACTTGCAAGCAAATTGCTCCCTATATATGTGTATTCATGCATGCATGCATGCACACACACAGATATATAAAATCTTCAAAACAGCAGATATTAAAAGTCTGACTTACTTTTTTTCCAAGAACTCAAAATAAGAATGAAAAGCATAAAGAATCAACTTTTTTCTATTACTGATTGGAAAATGTACCATTATTTAAGGTTTCACCTAAACTTTACAAGTTCCCTACATTAAAAATCACTGACATGCAGATGAAGGAGCAACAGAAACCCAGACTTTGAGAACTGACAGAAATGCATAGCACATTTGTAGAGAGGAAAGAAAAATTAATCTTATGTGATGTTCTTCACAGAAACAAAAGAAAAAAATCCTAAAATTCATATGGAACCACAAAAACTACACATAGTTAAAACAATTCTGAGCAAAAAGAGAATGCTTGAGGGATTACCATACTAGGTTTCAATCTATATTACAGATCCATAGGAATAAAAACAGCACGACACTGGCACAAAAACAGAAGCATAAACAAATGGAACAAAAAAAGACTCAAATTAAGTACTTGTAACTATAGTCATTTGATGTTTGACAAAGATTCCAAGAAAACACACTGGATAAAAGATAGAATCTTCAACAAATGGTGCTAGGGAAAAGATGTCCACCTATGGAAAAAAAATGGTATTATGGTCATATCTGCACAAAAATCAGCTCCAAATGGATCAAACGTCTCAATGTGAATCTGAAACACAGAAATTTCTAGACGAAAACAAAGACAGTACCCTATAAGATCTAGGTATAGGAAGGGACTTTTTGAATAGCAGTCCATTAATTCAGGAATTAAGACCAACAGTTGTAACACAAATAATAAAAACTCAGAGACAGATGTTGGGGTTCAAACTGATGGTAAGATAAGCAAAGCAGACAGCCACAAGCTCTTACCTCTTCCTATGCTCAGACCAAAGGGGTGATCCTCAAACTGTTCCCAACTTCCTTTCGCCTTCTCCTCAGATTCACTCAGACTGCTATGTTCTCCTCAATGTGACTAGAGACTAATTCTCTCATGAGACCCTTTGGTTCTTGCTTTTATACCTTCTTAGTGCTGAGATTAAAGGCATGTGATCCCGCCGGGCGTTGGTGGTGCACGCCTTTAATCCCAGCACTCGAGAGTCAGAGGCAGGGGGGGGCTTGTGAGTTCGAGGCCAGCCTAGTCTCCAGAGCGAGTGCCAGGATAGACTTCAAAGCTACACAGAGAAACCCTGTCTCAAAAAAAAAACAAACAAAAAAAAACAAAAACAAAAACAAAAAGGCATGTGATCCCAAGTGCTGAGATCACCATTGTGTAAGCTGTTTGTCTTTAGGACTTGATCAATTTTGTATAGCTCAGTGTGGCCTTGAGCTAACACATATCTATCTGTTTGTCTCTTGAGTCCAGGGATTAAAGGTGTGTGCCATCACTGCCTGGCTGTATGGCTAGCTATTATGGCTGATTCGATTAAAGGTATGTATCACCATTGCCTGACTCGGTGGCTTCTGCCTAGCTTTGCTTTCTGTACTCTCAGCAAGATTTAATAAACCATAAATGATATGTCACCACAAACAGCTGACAACCAGGGCTTCTAAAACTAAACTTCCCTTTATAGTGAAAGAAGAAATTAAACAAAGAAGTCCACAGAGTGGGAGAGGACTTTTGCCAGCCATATCTTGACTGAAGATTAATATCCAGAATATATTGTTGTGGAATATTTGATCACACTGTGTGAAATTATGTCACTGTTTTATTCTGATTGGTTTAATAAAGACATGAATGGCCAATAGTTAGGAAGAAGAGGATAGACGGAACTTCAGGGCAGAGATAGGATTTCTGGGATGACGAGAGACTTGTTTCACCAAAAAGACTTGAAGGGAGATGAATATGCATTATGGAGGTGAGGTAATGAGCCGCATGGAAGAATGTAGGTTAATATAAATGGGCTCTTTTAAGTTATAAGAGCTAGTTGTGAACAAATCTAAACTAAGGCCAAGATTGCATAATAAATAATAAGTCTCCATGTCATTTTGAATGAGCTGCTGGTACCAAAAGAAAGTCCTGCAATAATATATAAAGACCTAACACACATACACAAAGGAGTCAATGAAACAAACAATTCAATTGGAAAATGTGTGACAGATATGAACAGACAGTTCTCACAAGATAAAATGAGAAATGCCTTTTAATGTGTTCAACATTCTTACTCATCAGAAAATGCAAATTTAAATCACTTTGGTATTTGATATCATCCAAGCCATAATGGCTAAGGTACAAACAACCAAACAAAGGAATAAAAACAAAGGAACAAACAAACAAACGAACAAAAATCCCAAGCACCAGAAAATTTTGGCTTGGGTGTGAGAAAGGGACTACTCATCCTTACTACTCATACTAGTGAACAGATACTGAAATATGGCATATTCAAATGTGGCATATTCACACAAAGGAATATTATTCATCTATTAAGAAAAATAAAACACAGATACATAGATGATGCTAGAAACAGATATTCAGAATGAGATAACCGAGACCTAGAAAAATAAGGGTTACATGTTTTCTCTCATTGGTGAATGTTAGCTTTGGATTTTCAGGTATTTGTGTTTCATTTGGTACATTTCTAATGGTCAGAAAATTACTAAGGAGCTGTTGGGAAGAGTACTCAAGGGAAGGGAGCTAGAATGCATTGATATCAAGAGTCAAAGGAAATAATGGAGCAGGAAGTACTAAATTAAGGTGGGGAATGGAGCGCAAAGAAGGATAACAGGAAGAATATACAATAATAATAAAAACTTTCTAAAAGTCATATGGAAGCCAACTACTATTGAAACTTACATCTATATGCACAAACATACAAGAATAAGAACTAGTTAATATACAACAGGCCACCAGTATCCTACTAGACATCACAAACAAACAAATTGAAGATCCAGACTCAATAATGGGTTAATTTTTTGTAGTTGTTGGCCATTGAGATCCCCAAGATAGGGATGGAGAGACCTGAAGAAACAGTGGACCTGACCTACTGATAGAATGGAGACCCTAGTTGGAAAGCTGAGGAAACAGCATTGGACCAAACCAAGCTCTCTGAATGTGGGTGCCAGCTAGGAGGACAAGACAGTCTATGTGACCTCTCACAATGGAGCCAATCTTTATCCCTAGAGCACAAATGGGCTTTGGGAGCCCATTACCTATGGAGGGATACTATTGCCGACCAGATACAGCAAGGAGGGCCTAGACCCTCCCCCAAACAATATGACAGACTTTGAAGGTCCTTGGTAGAGGGCCTCACTATCCCTGGGGAGGAGTTGGGGGGTGAGTTAGGGTGGGTTGGGTGGGGAAGATTGTGGGATAGGAGGGCGAGGAAATGGGGAGTATGGACATGTAAATATGAGTAAATAATGATAATAATAATAATAATAATAATAATAATAATAATAATAAACGTATTATTCCTGTTCCTGACATTGAACCTTTGCACAGCTGATGTGTATGTATTTTCTCCTAAATAAAAACAAAACAACGAAGAAAGCATACAGAGACAGAAAATTTTGAAACCAGACATACCACAATTATAACAGAGCCAAGAATCAAGCCCTAATTTGGCCTTGTTGCCTCTAACAACAAAAAAAGTCTATGATTGCCTGTTTGTGTGTGTAGGGGGCATTTTGCACCAAACACTGTTGTCCTTTCAATGTCAGTCAGTGTCAGTCTAGAACTTGTAACAAAAACAATCCCATTTCAGGAAACAGGGCAGTGAGCATGCAGGGCTCCTGATAACAGGAACTGGTCTCTTACATTCCCTGTTTGGACTCCCACTGTTCTGACCACAATGTTACCTGAGCAGGAGCTCTAATTATTGACAATGTGTTGGCACAATTTGTGTTTTATTTTCTTCATTAAAAAAGCATGTCAATAGAGGAGTTCACTGACAAATCCTTGGTCAAGGTATGGTATTCTGTAGGGGGACATCCTGAATCATCATAACTTCATTCTCTGATGTCCTTTTGAACTGTTGACAAACAACCTACAGGACTGTGAAGTGACAGACAAAGGGACACACAGATTGCTTATTTCTGAGTAAGTCTACAATATGCTGATCTTCTCTGTCACCTCAGCATCCTGCTTCACCAGGTTTTCTGACAAACTCAAGATGTGTTTGAGGTGCTGTTTGTCTTTTGCACAGCAATAGACTGCAGAGTCCTCAGA